AACTTTTCCTTTTGCTTTTCTTTTGTGATTTGGTTTTTTTTTTTTTATTGGAAAGACTCTTCGGGGGCGGAACACTAAGCGAAAATCGACTCATAAAAAAGGAAACGTTGCAAATAAAAAAGCGCAAGAAAATTACTTTCCGCTCTACAAATTTTGCAGGGGCTTCTCTTGGAGTCAAGCGTGTAAAGTAAGTAAAGTTACGAATAAAAACCTTTTCCGGCTTTTCGGCTTCGATGACGGCCTTTGAGGCATTATGTACTGACAATTTTCATGATTATGCCGCTTACTCCATGAGTGTCCAGCAACAACTGTCGCCCACTGTCGCCCGCTCTCCACCAGTTGGCAGCTCTTTCAGCCGTCTAAACGCAGCTGTTAAGCCTTTTCCGTTTCCGTTGGCCTTTTTTATGTGTGTGCGGCTTACTTGGACTTGGCGCCTAGAGGGTCGACTTCTATTGATAGCCATTGACAGCACATACACACACACACACACAATGTTGCTTCGGGCCACCGAAACGGAAATGAACATGGGATTTCATTCAATTTTTTATTCCTACATGCTTAAGAGTGTGTGCACAAAGCGTATTTTGTGTAGCTTTTGGCCTAGAGAGCTATCACGTTGTGCCACAATGTTGACTATTGCTGGCAGCTTGGCAATTTTCTGGTAATTACAGATAGGTGGCTGAATGCTTTCTGTATGCAGGTGAGATAAGAAAAAAGAACGAAATTAAATGGTGCCATAAGGAGCAATGACAATGGGTGAGGCCTTACAGTATAAAACTGAAGCTCTATTAAAGTGTTAATATCTGAAGGGCAACAAAATGAGTGGACATTCTGATTATAAAAAAGACTTTTGTCATTTAGAATAGTGCTATTTCATCAATTAAAGATAGGTTGATACTCATTATTCTGAGCGGGCTATCAGAATAACTCCTCCCTGATTCCTGCACCTTAACTATCTTAAACATAAAGACAAACGAAATTAAGATGCCACAAGTGCTTATTTTATTAATTGGCACAACCGAACCAAATGCTGCCCCCAATCCAAACCAAATGAACAGCCATATAAAATTGTCATAACTGGAAACGTATTGTGACATTTCCAATAAACAGCAAAATGGAATTGGCAGCTGTGTGCTGCTGCCCAGTTGCGGGTGGGGCATATTGAAGTTCGACTATTTCTAGTTAATTTACTGCGAATACAAAGCGCCCAATATGCAGCATAAATAATGTTGAGCATTTGACATAAATAACTAGGGATGGCACAATTGCCAAAACTTTCCTCCAACCGACCTCCCATCTAACCCCACTCTGCAGTGTCACAGCTGCTGCTGGATGCTGGATGCTGGCTGCTGGCTGCAAACGCTCTGTAACTGTTACAATTAATTAGAAACTAACAAAGTTCCACTTGCCAAGGCGCTAAACTTGTTCCAGCAGCCCGAACCAAAGACTGTCGCGCACATAAAGCGCTTTTAATTGATTTTCCCGTTACGTGCAATGGCAAATTGTCGTCCTGCGGCAGCTAACTCCTGTCAGTGTTAGAGAGGAGCACGTGTCGCCCGCTGATTCGTGTCACGAATGCGCATGAACACACTGTGTTCGTGTTAAAAAATATCTGATTGAGTGCATCGATAGTTTAGGGGGATTAAAAGTTGAAAGCACGACCAAACCAGAACCAGAGGATCCTTACAGGAATTAATCCTCAAATATAGCATAAATATAATTAATTTGATATATTTAGTTTAGATATGGTCACACCTTTTAAGCAGTAAAGCTTCATATAAACAATTCATGCGAACAATATGTATTATTATTATCGGACATATTTTTAACTCTCATATTGTCACACCTTCCATAACACTAATAAAATGGAATATACTGACTGAAGTGTACTAGTGTTGTGTAAAAGATAATAATAAGTATTATTATTCATTATTTCAAAATATATAATATTGTATTCTTTTTGTCAACTTTGCTTACATCTGTTTAAAAGTGAATTTTATAAAATTTTGCGCCAAACAAATATATTAAAAAGTAAAATATGTTTTCGTGCTTAGTCAAGGATTGGGCTTCATATGCGTTTCATATCAATACGCGTCCATCTCTAGTTTGTGGCCAACAGCTGTTACCGTCTTACCCACCGACCACGCCCACAAAGCAGTCTCATCTATACGCCACAATGGTACTGGCAGCTTCGGTAATCGTTCATTCATTCATTCGAATTGTAGTTAATTAATAAATTATTCCATGCGATTGAACTAACAAAGGAAAAACTTTAGCATGAGTGTCGTCTCTGCCAACTGGACTATAATTGCCCTCCCCGTCACACTCCTCATTAATTCCAGCACCCTGCCCGCTTGTACTGTGCCGACTTTTTTCCGCACCCATACGCATATAAATTACATTTTTTGCAATTAAACACATTTTGATGTTAAATGCGAAACAGAGAGCTGCACGAAAATGTTTACGGCCTGCACATGTTGCGTATACGCAATGTGCTAAACTCGCCACCCGTAAATGGCGCGTGGTCGTGTATTCCTTACACTGTTTAAGAGATATAACCCGAGGTATTAACATCGTGACCCTGTATTGTGATAGAGCTCTGTTTTCCCAATAAATTACATTTTCATTTTATTTTATGTCCATTTTGGGGCATGGATGTGGGTGGACTTCGCCTCCCTCCCCATCCCATTGCCCCTGTGGACTGTTGGTGTATCAGGTGTGCCGCACATATTGGAAATTTATTAAAACCGTAAAATAACTTTACGAATTTCTCGCGCTTTTATGCGTGCTGCTTTGTGGTAAAGTTAAAATTAATTTTGTGGCTTGCGAATGTTGTTAACATTTAAACGAAAAGTTTGTTTCAAGTATTAAATGCATTAAACTTTAATACAGTAATTAAATGACAATATTACATTTAATCAATTAAAATGTTTTACTCTGTTCATGTTTGGGCCTTAACTGAACGTTTGTATGTCTTTTGCTCTTCCGCTTTTCTTTCTACCCTCTTTTAACAAAAGCTTTGGACCTTTTTTATGCCATATACAATTTGTAATCTTTCATTAATTTGTTTATAATTTTTATAATTACTGCCAAGTAACTAGAACCTTACTTAACTTGTTTCTTCTTACCGTCAAGGTGAACTTAAGCCCATAAAGCCTATAGCTCATTATTGCAGGTTAAATGCACACGAAAACTAAAGCATACTTCAGCCACTTTAATTTTGAAGTATAAACTTTAATAACTAACAGCTTATTATTTGCGATATTGCTTTTGGCATTTCAAGAAATCATCTAATTCAATCCAATCTATGTGTTGTCAATTGAATTGTTACTTTTAATTGTAATGTAACTTTTGTGCACATGTACACCAAAAATGTTAAATGTCAAATGTATTAGCTCAACTATGATATGTTCTTGTAGTTAGCGGTCTCATAATTGTAGTTTTGGCAATTAAAAGTGAAACGTTAATATTTAATTGCAAATGCAACAGTAAGAGCACTAAAAGTCATGAAAAAATAAAAGCAAAAATTACGAATTGCACAACACTGACGCACACAGTGTGCACAAATTGCATTAAACCAAGAGGCAGCCAGATGAAAAATACAATTTTGATAAAAAGTAATTGAATAAACAGCCAACAACATCTAGAAATAGAGGAAATTTCAATGCTCCGAACCGGAGACGAAGCAAAAGGCATTAGCAACAGATTAGTGTCAAGCTCTGAGGAACTGGAGCAGTCATATAGGATTGTATTTCTCATACCAAATCTTGGCCAGAATCCGACTCTAAGCCAGAATCGTTAGCAATGTGACCCAGAAATGAACTAAGCCACATCAAATTTTATGCCATTTGCTGCAATAAATTTAATTACAAAAAAAATCAAATTGACAAAAAGTGCACCCAAAAAGTTCGGGCAGTTGCCACAAAACTTGGCCACTTGCCTCCGTCACACACACAATTTTGGGGCCTGCCCAGTTTGTGTTTTGCGTTCTGTTCTAATAACCTGCAGGCAATGGTTCCAGTAATCTGATTTTCATGATTTTCATTTTTTTTTTTCAATTGCGTTTCTTTGACCGTTCATAAAAATCAATTGCTCGGCTCTTGCTTTTCAGTTTTTATTGCTATCCTGCAACGCATCCTTCTTCGACTTTTATGAGCGAGTTACTTGCAGTTAATTAGAGAATGAAAGTGCACGGCTAATCAACTGAAAGTTGTTCACAGAGCTCAGCTCGCAAGGCAAAGGTGTTGTCTGGCCATCAAGTAGCTGGCGATGGCGTCGATAAGTCAGCCAAGCCATATTGAAGCGGAAATGAGAAAAAAAAGAAGACGAAATAGCAGCAGAAAAGAAGCAAACGCAGGGACTGCCATTGTGGGCGATAATCCTAAATGATTGCCCCTGCTGATGGCTTTTATGTTGTGGAAAAGGGTTGGCTAGACTCCATATCCGCTTAAAAGGCAATCGATTAAACCAAGTGTTAAAGTGCGAAAATTAACTCACGGTATTTTGTATGAAGTATTCGTTGAGTCTGTTGCATGTGTAGAGGCGAACCATAATATAATCTTGGTAGAAATATGTTTTCCATTTTAAAATTAGTTGTGACCTTAGACTTTGACTTTTCACATGTCTATTGAATACCTTTAAGAGGTAAATACCTTTCAACAAAGCAAAGCTGCCAGTAAGGCATTTACAGGTGTCCCACAAAGAAATTAGTTAATTGTTGAAACGATTAAGGATTTCGCGCAAAGAAGATATACAAAATCGAGCAATTTATTATATTATTATTATTTTTTAACTAGGTATTGACAGTTAGTTAGACGTAATGATTAATGGGTCTGTCCTCTAGCCAAATGAAGGGTCATTCTTCTAGCAAATAAAACGTTGCCCTAGTGTATGCCTACAATATATGAGAAACAAAAATAGTTAATAGTTTAGTTTAAAACCTGAAACATTAAAAGCGACTAAAAATATATAAATATTAAAATGTTGCAGATATCTTATAGAACCTGGTGTGATGCATGTATTTTAACTATAATTTAGGTTTCTAAAACTTAGTAATACATGTAATTTACAATAAAAATTTAAACACGAAAAGCGCGATTACAAGGTGCGCATCTTTTCCAAAAAGCTATTGATAAACTGAATTTCCTTTGAGTTCAGACGCTTCACCTGGTAAACGCATTCTTCATAATTTTTCTCATCGTTGAGTCGCTTAAAGGCGGCAGCCCGATATAGCCAGGCGCGCATATATTTTGGATCCAATTTATTTAATACATAATCACAATCAATAATGGCGCTTTTGAAGGAGCGTAGTCTATAAGGCAAGAGATGGATTATTGCTAGAGGATTGCTACCAAAACGTTAGAGTCAATTTACTTGAGATAGCAACAGGCGCGATTTATATATAGAACGGGCGTATCGCAAATATTCTCCAAGCCCTTGTTGTAAAAATCAATGGCTGTGCTGAACTGTTCTCGGCGATATGCCCAGTTGCCTAGCCTAGAATAATTATAATAGATGTATATTTTTCGTTATCCTGCGACTATTTTTCTTTACTCACCGACGAAAATTGTTGGCTATCCGTTCACGCTCAAGGCGCGCCTCAACGCGTTCCTCATTACTTTGGTCGACTTGCCGCATAAATGTGAATTGATTGGTATTTGTAGAGAACTTCATTCTTGCCTTCGATCTCTTAGCCGACATACGTCCGGATAGCAAACGTTGAGAGATGAAAAAGTTCTTATCCGTAACGCCTTCGCTGATATCCACAACGGGCTTCACCTCTTTTTTCTTGTCACCTCGAGTGCTAATCACAATGGGCATATACATGCAGGCAATATAGAATTAATTGTCTCTCACTTACTCTTCCATTTTGTTAGAATTTATCATAATATCAATAAATTGTATAGCATCTACCACTTTTGACGGTTCCTTAAGAAATTTTTCATCGTATTGTGGATGGTTTATGTACTCCATAGTGTGGTTGACAGAACTTTTGTTTGTTCTTTTTATCAACTGTGTTATTTATTTATTTTTCGTGCTTTTTTTATTTTTATAGTAGTTTTTTAGGGTTTCTTTTGTGTCTTATGTGAGCTGTGTGCTTTTATTGTGTGCTATGTTTTGTTTTGTTGATGTGTATGGGCTACTTGTTTTTAAATTCATATTTGTTTTATTGTTTTGAGGGTTACTATCCGTTTAGGAATTTTTTTTTAAATTGTGGTTTCTATGCATATAAATGTGGTAAGTGAATTTAATATTTATATATAAGCAAAGTGAATATAATATAATTTTACCCTCCCGGGTAAACTTTTGCATTTGCCGTCGCTAAACATCATTTAATGTATTCAATCTTTTTTATGCCACATTCTTAAACGTTTTACATAAGATATACAGATGATCTCTCTCTTTATCTCAATAACTCTCTCTGCTGAGAGCGCAATTTGTTATTTCATTCTCTTTTGTGCATCATTTTTAAATGTTTTGAATAATCACTCAAGTCATGATTGTTGGTTTAAAAAGTATTCGTCAGCCATATATCTGCCCGATTAGCTGTGTGAAAAATTTGCGAAGCCATTAATTTATTCCGTTTTACGTTTATTTATTTATTTTTCTTTTTAATGTAAAAATCTCTTTAACTGCTCAATTTGGAATCATGCTGCAGGTGCTGTCGTCTGCCGCACTTATTGCAAAATTGTTTTTGGAGCAAGCGACTTTTAATTTGAATTAAAAATGCATCAATGCGCTGATTTTAATGCACACAATTAAAACAGCAAGTCAGGAAATTGCGAAAGCATTTAAAATCCACGGGAAAATCAGATGAGCGAATTCAATGAGCGATTGCAAATTGCGAATTGCGGTGCCCAGATAAACCAACAACAGCAATATCAGCGTGGAAATTTGCAGAAAATGCATATAAAGAAATTGTGACGCAACAAGCTAATGTGCTAATGCACACTCACGTATACACACACTAATACACACTCAGACACTTTCCCCCCTACTTGGATGCGTATATGAAGGCTGATGCTTAAAAGTTTTACACGCTAATCGCTAATTGCTTTTAAAGACAGTGTTTGGGTTCGCGGATGCTTTTGTTTCTGGCTGACGGGGTGACAGGGGGTACACGGGGGTGACATTGGGGGTGACAGTGGGAAATGTAAGTGGGAGCGACGTGAACGGGGAGCTCTACCCTGTAATTGTCGCTCTTCAAAATGCGCAATTTGCAATGCAAATGTACGCATAAGTTTTTAGCGCCAACAGCCAACAGATGGCGCCAGCCCATTCCAAAGAATAGCATGTTGGATATATTTAAGTGTAAATGGGGGTTGGAGCGTGTTTGATGTTGGGGATCGAATGTTGGGTGTTTGACAACAGCTTAGCACCCAATCAATTAAAATATTTTGTTGGCACTTTTTCAACCGCCAACGGAAAGAACACAAGCGCACACGCATTGACTAAATGCCATCCAGTTGATAAATAAAACAAAATGCGAAGTTTAAATTTCAGACGTTTTATTGGACATGCAAGATAAGCTAGCAATCATTATGAGCTTATAATACCTTATCAAAGGAATGTAAGGATAAAATCAGTTATATATCAAACAGGTTCATACTTGCGTTCAGAATCCGTGACATTGTCAGAATTTCTCAAAGTTCTTCAAATTAAAAGTTTAAAATATACATAGTCATGTAATATAAATAATATACAGATGTTTTTTAAAAGAAACTCTAATCTCTAATCTCACGATCAATAAAGTAGAACAGGAAAATAATTATTATAGAATTTCGTTTATATGTGGATTTTAAGCATTTGGTCCTGCTGGGCTGTCAATACACATATATGTATATACTCAGAGGCACACAGGCACGCAAAGTAAATGCAGCAATTAGTTGACTTAACTTCTATGACACACAATTGGCAATTTATTAAGGCGCAACAAAAGCATGGCGGCAAGGAAATTGAGTGTCCTTGCCAAGCAGGGATTTATTTATGGTTCATAGATTAAATACTAATTAACACTACGCAACACCAGCAAAGGCCAAAAACACACACACATAAGCACACACATTTGATTTATGCCAAATGAATGCAGAATGGCCTCCATCTCTGGGTCTGTCTCTCTCTCTCTCTCTCACTCTTTGGCGTGTTTGTCCTGTAAGGATTAGGAAGCAGACAAAAACAGAAAAAATACACAACAGAAAACATTTGCCTGGCCGTTTTTGTCTGGGCCATTGACCACTTTTTGAAGAGGGGCTGGACACTGCCTCTAGTCTGTGCTGCTTAATGCCATAAATTGTGCTTAAATTATTGGGGTTGGTTAACACTTAACTACATATACGCACACACACACACACACACACACACACGCACACTCATTGGGCATTTTTTTGTTTTCGTTTGGTGTATTTGCTTAATGTTCCGTTGAACTTTTGCTGCTCATTTGCTTTACCGTAATAACCACTTGACCAAGTTTGCACAGCCAAGATTCGAACTAGAGTTCAAAAATTAATGATTGAAAAAGGCAATAAATAAAAACATAGCTGAGCCTATAAAGCACTCATATATAAACTTGATCAGCATTTTCGAACCTTTTTGTGTATATACAAAATTCTGATCTAATCTAAACATAAGATATAATCTACAACATTTAACAAGGAAAACATTTATGTTTATTCTACCTGTGTATAAAGAAGTTTCTCCTAACTGGCTGACTAAAGCTTCCTTGTGGGTTGAAAGTCGAGGGACAATGTGGCTTGTGAAAACATCAAAAATAATGCAAAATAACGTAATACGTCGACCCACTAGCGAGACCCACTAGCGAGACTCCGCCGGCTCAATTTAAAATACTTATATATGATTAATTAGTTTCTTAATATACAGAAACAGAAAAGCAACACAACAACAAATGCAAAATGGATATATTAACAAAAATAATTAAAATTTTACTTTTGTTTTATGAACTATTCCAATTAACATGATTATGTATTAGTATTATGTACAGAACTGGTGCGGCTTATAACTTTACTCTCTTGCCGAAGGCGAATGTGTTCTGGAGAAATATGTTCGCTTGGGCTCGCAGATTATAAGCAAACATTGTGGAGTGTGTGCTGCGGTAGGGGGAGGGAAATCTCAATTCAGGGGGCTATTGCATTGTTTTCAGAGTGTTTTGTATGTAAATCGTTGCGTATTCAGCCTGCAGTCCCTCTGTTGCAGCATGGAGTCGAGTCTGTGAAATTTATGTGTCTGCGTGTCATGAGCTCGCGCATAAAAAACGGCACCAGCATCAAAATCTGTCGGGCATAATCAAGCGAGACAATGCGCCAACAATCCCCATAAACTGTGCACCATGGTCCGCACGATATGAAGGTGGAAATAGGTTTGAGTGCGTTGATTAACGCCGGCCAGAGCCCAAAAGACAACTCGACTAAGGACCGACTGTCATTTATTTGGATTCGCGTCACGCGAGCGTTCATTTTAATACCAGTTTTACGCTTTAAGCATGCATTAAAATGAGCTTTAAAAACGCTGAAAAATTAATTGCAAATTTTAAAAATATTGTTTGACGAATCGGCTGCAGCACGGACAAACCAAAAAAACTCACTCACAAATGTTATGAATAATGAGCTTATTATTTTATAAAATAAGTCAAGGGGGGGGAGGGGGATATTCCGTCAGGCAACCGTTAAAGAATAAGACGCAATGTAGAACTGAAAAAAATCTACAAAAAATAGCTTAGAAACGAATTCAGTATTGTTTAAGTTTAAAAAACGTTTAAGAATATAGCACAAAGAGGAATTGAATAAAATTTGATGCAAAAGCCTAAACCTAAGCACTAAAGGTATGCCATTTTATAAGCCATCCATTGGTAAATGATTCCAAATTATTTCCATTGCACTAATTAAACGCACTGCAAGCGTTCTACTAAGTGTTTAAGTCCACGAATTAAAATTCTGACTGGTCGTAATGGGCTTGGGCCCCACACATATTACTCTCTCTCTCGGTCTCTCGCAGTGCTCTTTTTGATATTATTATAAAAAATGCAATACCAGTTGTGCATGCTTTTTTAAACTTAATCGAATTAATTAAATTTTTATAACAATTGAACGGGCAACTAAAAAACCATAAAAGTCTGATATTCGTTGCAGCCCATAATAATAATAATATTGTGTCTTTACGTGGGCTTGATTTAAATTCTATATTCATTTAAATTTAATTATAGAAGTAGTCAGTAATTCATATATGGTATAAAGTTCCACTCATGAAAACGGAGCGCGTTTCAGCGCATTGTGAATTTTTTCATTTTACAAATTGCGGAGTGTATGTGTGTGCGTCTGTGTGTGTGTGTAAATACCCGCAATTAAGCAATAATAATAAGCATCATTAATAAATCATCACAAAAATGTTGCGCCAGTAACGAATCGAACTAAATACAAAGTGTATCAATATGGATTTTTTTTTTCAATAAAAGAATCTGTTGTAGTCTATTGACGTATGTGTGTGTGTATGTGTGTGTGTGTGCGCGTGTGCATGTATCTGTGTGGGTGAGCATTTGTGTGGTTGAGTATTATACTCGGGCGTTGAGCTGTCCAATTAACTTTTAAAACTCAATGCATGCCATTTTATTTAACATTTCGAAGCAAACGAAAACTTCCATTGAAAACACGTTTTGAATACATTTCCAGAGCAGAGAAAATATGCCAATTGCCAATTCAAAATTGACAATCATATTATAAGCCCACCTTTCTACTGATTAATAACTTATTTCTTGGTATTTTGCAACAATTTCGAATCTCATTTTAAAGCTCTTGATAGAGCGGAAATTTGTTGCTTTTTATAATTTAGTTAAATAGATGACACGATTAATGTCTTTGAAGAGATACAAAAGAATACACAACACGTTTCTAGGTTAATCTGCCATTAAGTATACCAATATGGAGATACCCCGAGCCCAACACTAAGCTGCTTTTCCAAAAATGTAAGCTTACCCTTCTACTCTTTACCATAACACAATAGGGAATGCTGTCTTGAATAGGTTCGATATTTATTATCCGATCTTTATGAAATTGTCAAAGCATACATCATACAAATATGTATACCACACCAAAACCCAAGA